GGACCATAACCAAGTAATACCAATTCAATCTATTAAATATACTGTACTTTGAAAGAAAATAAATAACTTGCTCTCACATGTAATTTTTTTTATGTCTTGCTTAGGCAACTATAATTTATAAGAATAAAGAACTCGCAACTGATAATATATTTTTAAATGTATCAAGGATCCGCATATTCGCTGACGTTCTTTTAATGGTTCTTTTTCTTTTGACAGACTATAAATATTATGGCAAATATGCATTTACAACAAGCTTTTTTTATAAATTTAGTATAGATGTAATCTTATAAGTAATATATAACAATTTATAAAATTTAAATACTATACTATTTTAAATTTAATTCCAAGCGTAAGACCTAATAACTAGAGCTCCAGCCCACAAAACGTCACTGTGTTTCTAGTATTATTACAATTACCGTAAAATCTCGAAATATCAAAATAACGCCCATGCGCGTCCCAAAATAACGCGCATCCCATTATTATGTAATTTGAAAAAAACAAGGTTCAAAAATAGGGATGTTAAAGAGTCCGTTCGGTCTGACCCAGCTCCGGTTCTAAAAAGTCCGGGTTTAACTTAGCAGTTTAACATACATTATAGATAATTTTGAAAGTGAAATGCCAAAAGTATCCATTATTCACTTTTATTAAGATTTCCCTAAAAAGTTCAGTCCGAACAAGTCCTTTGTGGGCTATTTAACATCCTATTCAAAATAACGCCCATGGGCGTACTCGAAATAGCGCGCAGATGCTCGCTATTTCGAGACTTTACGGTATGAAAAATTTATTATTATATGGGAACTTTACTAGGAAAATGATCCTCCGAGACTATGTTGATTTTGTGAATAAAAATTAAATTTGCCAGCCATCTAGTCATCAAATTTGAATGAATTTTTTTTTTATTTTGTAAATCTCAATAGAATCTACAAAAAAAAATTCATTCGAATTGGATAACTAGATGGTTGACAAATTTAAAGTTTATTCACAAAATCAACATAAGCCTCGGAGGGGCATTTTCCTAGCAAAGATCCCATATAATTAGTAAATCACATACATTTTTATTTTTAATTTCGGATTACAAAATCATTAGGGTCAATCATAAACCCTGACACAGCCGACTTAAAACAAGTACAATTTCTAGTAGTCGATTGATATTTGTTAAATAATTTTTGATAAAAATATATCAATTAAAATATATCAAATAATAATAACAAAAATATAATTGTGGTTATATATGATTGTGTGTCATAATTTAACAGAAACCAAAATTATCTCGAACCGAAAGGTATAAATGAATAATAATTACATCCTGAGTATTTCATTTTCCGCTTATACACATAGTACCCAGGATATAACTGATTTATACTTTGCGATCTTGATATAATGACCAGGGTATATTATAAAGTTATTATAAAGTTAATTTTATACGTACGTGCGTACAAGTAATAGGGAGGATCTACACAAGCTGGCAATCGCCGTTCTGGCTTGTACATCAAAAGAGGATATAAATGATACAATGTATAAGATACGATAAATATATATATTTTATCCGTTTTTTTTTGAATAAGCTGCGGTCATTCGTAATCAGTCACGTAATTTTTAAACTTTCTTTGCCAATATAATTCAACGAAACATTAATATTAATCTGTAACAAACCAAGGAATATTTCCATTGTTTGAAACATGTTTCGTGAACACAGCCACCGGGTAGTCTTTTTTCCAACGGTTTTAAGCAGATTAATAAGCAGAATTATATAACGATAACGAATTTAAAGATAAAAAAAAACAATTGGCGTTAAAAAACAGTTGGCTGAATCAATTCCGAATTCCGCAGGGCAGGCACATATGTATGTATTAATTACAAAGACCTTGGCGTTATACATAGTAGTAGGTAAATAAAACTATTATACAGTAATCCATTAATTCATTTGAAAACAAAGAATTTTAAGAAAAATGATTGTCAGCCTTTAACCATAACGATAATAATCCAGTATTATATTTCACACGATGATGATACGTATGTTTGGATAAATTGAGAACCAAATAACGATAATGATAATGAAATGTATAATATAATAAGGTATAAATTCAGAACGCGTGACAAAAATCGTGTTATAAACTTTCCAAATAAGTCGAATAAGCATTACAAGCCGATATACTCTAAAAGCATCTCACAAATCTTTTACCAGATAGAATCATTTATTAGAATCATTGACCAGAATCATTCACTAGAACCATTGACAAGAATCATAATCATTTACTAGAGTCATTTACTAGAGAGTCATTTACCAGAGTCATTTATCTTTACCAAGAATCATTCACTAGAATTATTCACTAGAATCATTCACTAGAATTATTCATTAGAATTATTCACTAGAATTATTCACTAGAATTATTCACTAGAATTATTCACTAGAATTAAAGAGAAAGATGGTCTAGACCAACACATTAATACTTATTAAATAATGCATTTAAGAGAACACTAGAATTTATAATGTTAATGATAAATATGAATTGTTTTATTGTAATCGCAAAATACGTAATTTAAATGAAAGAATGATTTTTGTCCAACTATTGTATTTAAATGTATAAATATAGTTTACAATGAAGAATAAACTCAATCAAATAAATAATTTAAACTGTTATAAATATTATTAAACATATAATTAAAGAATCCAATTAATTTGAGAAATACCATATTTAAACTATTACTAATATAAGAAATTCTAAATATATATTATATATATGGAATTACTAAAACGAGTCACTATAACTTCTTTAAGGATGTAGGTAACATATACGTACTGTACGTACACATTGGATTTATTTGCGTTCGCAACACAAATAGCAAATAACGTACGTACGTAAACACATTTAATAATGCGGAGTTTTGATATAGTACATTATAATAAATCACCGAACGCAAATGTTTAAGAGAGAGTCAATAAACGTAAAAGGTAAACAAGCACTATTTAAACCATCTTTTTACTAAAAAGGTATTTCCCTTTTATTACAAACTTTAATAAGAAAAGATTCTATTCGTCTTTTCACGAAAAATATTGTATTATATATAAAAAACAATTCTTTTTTGATTAAACCACAAGAGAATCACCGATTGGTTCTGTCTTGTATAAAGGCACGTGATGAGTAGGTATACCAAAAAAAAAATAGCTTCAATAACGATAATGATAATTAACGATATAATAATCATTAACGATAGCAGTAACTAACAAATGCATAAACATATCCAATATCCAATATACGGACATACGGACATACATACGGACATACAGATATAAACATCACAAGGTTATCGTAATAAAAATAGAAATCATTGATTTAACTGCAAGTATTATTCGACTTTATAATTCATAAATTTGTAAAGTGATTGTTGTAAAGTTTTGTCAGTCTTGCAATACAAATATGTTAAGAGGATTCCAAAGTTAATGAACGAATATCGATTTTGACAAATAAATACTTTAACTCTGGATATAATTCGGGAAAGAAGGCCTGTTTACGTATTGAGAAAGGTAATTATAGTAATTGTATCTTTCAATCACTCATTTTCTTATTTGCTTATTTTTTTATTCTATTTTTTTTTTTTTTTGCTGTAATGTCAAATCTTACATATCATTAAATATCATTAAATATCATTAAATATCATTAAATATCATTAAATATCATTAAATATCATTAAATATCATTAAATATCATTAAATATCACTAAATATCATTAAATATCATTAAAGCCACACACGTGCTATATAGTGTGCCATAGTGTGCCTCTTAAAAAAAAAATTGGTATCTTTATGGCGCGTAATGCTAATATAAATGTTAGGGTATGTATCTGGTATGTAAGTTATCAAAAATGTCAACCAGATTAATGTTACAAAGTTGTGAGTATATCCAGTATATATATATATCTATCTATTTTTTTTTTTTTTTTTTAGCTTTACAAGTACGTACATACGTAAATACGTACATAAATACATTACGTAGTACGGTTTGTGTTTTAATCAAATTACTTAAAAAAGAAAAAATCTTTTTACGATTTTTGAAAGTAAAGAATTATTTCAATTCAAATAGATGTATTAAACTTATCATAATTACGTATTAGTATTCATTTTAGACTTTTGTGAACTTTTTAAATAATAATAAATAAAATGGTAGTACGTACTTAGTTACCACCACCGAGGATATTACAGGGTAATCTGAAATCACTAACGCTAACTGAAATTTTGTCATTTAAGTATATAGTAATAACGGGGCGGGATGCAGGATTTAAACAAAAGAGAATTCCATAGTAGGTAAATATTTACGGAGTATTATACCGGAGAGCGGTTAATGATTAGAAAAAAAAAGGAGTAGAAAAAGTCCGGAATGTAGAGATAATGGTAAAAAACCAAAAAAAAAAGTGTGCGTAGGAATGTGTGAATGTGTGAAAAAATATATATTTTTTTTTATTAATTTATATTTTTTTAACGATAAGCGGAATGGGTTTCGGAAGTGCGGTGTTTTTTTTTCGGGAGACAAAATAGCATGTGCATAATTCCGCAAAAACGGGTTCTTATTCAGTCAATTAATTATTTATATTATATTGTAAATAAAAATAAAATAGCTTAATAATTTAATCTTAATAATTTAATTTGGTGTGGCCTCTCGGAGTTGAAATTCCTTATTGTTGACACTAAATATAAAAATATACTGTAAAACCCCCCCAAAAAAAAACGACAAATCAAATAACATACAGTATATAAAGAATGATTTTATCCGATTCTTCCTTGTAGAGCTCTTCTAAAAAATGAAGCTTTTTCATTACTAGAAAAATAGTTTAGGCACACTGTAAATAAACTCGTCCCCCTTATTCATAATATAAATTATAATCAGAAAAAATCAAAAAAAAAATTTTTTTCAGACAACTACACAAATACCTGATATTAACAAATTACATATCACACACTCTTTAAATCAACGGCTAATTATAGTATTTAAACATTATTTATAATGACTACCAAAACTTCCGCAATCACTAATCGATCAAATAATTCCAAGAGTCCTTCATATAATATAAAAACACGTGGAACACATGCCCGAGTACAGAGAGTGAAAGTCACTACGGTTGGGAAACCTACTAATTCATTGGAAAAGCAGCAACATAGAAATTGTTTGAGATGTAAAGAAAGTGACATTAGTGTTAAAACTTTAACGGAGCGTGTGGGAAGAATAGAGAATTTAGTTAATGCACTCTCTAAAACTACCCAAAATCTTTTCAAGGTGAATAAAATTGATTTTTATTATTCTTGTAGATACTTTTTTTTTAAATTATCGAGATCAATTGTGTCATTACGAATTGTATCCAAAATATTCACATATATACAATTATATTTATTAAATTTATAATATTTATTAAATTTTATTATATCTATTGTATTTATCGTAATTAAAGCGAGATGATAAATTGTCTTGGAGATTAAAAGGTCTTGATCTAACAACCTGCAGTCTCGAAGAATTACAAAAATTAGTGATAACTACCACAAATATCATGATATCACAAAATAACAAACTTAACACTACTACCACTACTACCACTACTACTACTACTACACCTTCCAATTTAACAACCGTACCTAACGGTTCTCGTAAATCTGGTCGTAAACATGCTTATAAACAACAACCTACTTCACCTATCCTTCATTCTGAACCTATGGAAGATGCTTCACATGTAACATTTGCAAAATCAGTTCCTCCGAAATTGGGTCGAACAAAGTCTTTGCGTAAAGATTCTGGTTATGTTGAGTCTAAACAAACAGATTAAAATCTTTGTCAAAAGACTTGATTAATTAACTCGACCATATAATTCATTAAAAATTTTTACAGATGTATAAACAGAAGTGTATGTGTGTTTTTTTTTCATTTTTCATTTATCCCTCTCCGTCTTCTTCTGTTACTTCAAATTCTTGTATTCTTGTCGAATATTATTGATGAATTATATGTTTTTTTTTCCTGAGTTAAATAAAGGCCTTGGTTCAATTTGTCAAATATATATCAATATATTAACATATGTATATTAACATATATATATGTATATATATATATATCAAACATATACGTATTAACATCTCAACATATATCGATATATATATATATATATATCAACATAACAAATATCATTACAAAAAAAAAGATTAATCTTTTATAATTATATAGAAATTTTTTTTGTCATGATATTTGTGTTTATATCATGCTTCGATCTTTATTTTTTATATATATTTTTTATTGTTCTTCCTTTGTTTAGTAAATTTATTTCATTCCTTTAAAATTATTTTTTCACTCTTTTATTAAACTCCCCACTTTGTGTGTTTGTTAATATTCGTCTTTGCTTAGTTTCAGAAATTTATGAAATACATTTTACATGAGCTCTATATATATATATTTTTTTTTCATAATTATCGTATTTTGAGTATTTTGAATTATCGTATTAAAAAAAAAAACAATTATGTGATTTCACTTTGATCATTTTAGTTATAAGTTCTTTATTTTTTAGATCAAGACTAACTGGATTTTTAAGCTTGATCTTTTTCTTTTTTTTAACAAATAAAAAATTTGATAATTATGTATTATTTTGTATTTTTAAAGTATAGAAAATATAAAAACGCTCTTAAAAAAAGTTATTAAAATAGTATGTGGATCGATGAATGATCGATGAATGATACCGATACGTAGATAATGAACGAATAATAATAATTACAAGTATTTTAAGTATGCTAAGTATGTTAAGTATTTTAAGTATGCTAAGTATGATATGTATGATAAGTATGATAAGTGAACAAATAATGATACGTAAAAAGATAATGGTAAGTGAACGAATAATGATAAGTGAATTAATAGTGTATAAAGTATTAATAGTGGATTAAGCATAAAAAACAACATGAAAAATTATTGTTTATTTAGATTCTTGATCATTGGTTTCTCAAGAAAATTCTCTTATGCATTTGAACATAATTACACTTAATTATTTGAACATACATTATTTACACTTAATTATTTACATTTTAGATATAATTTACCCTTAACTATTCTGTACGTTATAATAGAATGCATAAAGTCCAGAATTTATAGTACAGAATTTTATAGTACAGAATTTATAGCACAAAAAATTTTTTTCAAACATCTAAAGTTAACGACCAAACTTTAATTTACTTGTATCACTAAATAAACTTGTACACAACATTGTCTTTATACAGGATACATATACTTACATATACTAAAAATAATAACTAATCCTTGTATATATCCTTGTATATTTTTTTTTTTCAATTTTTGGAAATAATTTTTTAATATAGTATTTGTGAAAAAAAAAAGCATATCGATATAGTATACGTAGACAAAAATGATTATTGATACGATTAAGATAATCTATTAGCTCTTTCTTTTTTTATAATTAACGTTAAATTCTAGATGATACTGAAAAATCTCGTGATATTTATATCATGATCTAGTTTTTTATCTAGTTTTATCTAGTTTTTCTAGTTTTATTTAGCTTGATCTGGTGATTATGTCGAATGTTTCTTGATCATGAGATATAAGAGAAACTAGTTCATGACTTTTCTAGATCATACCAGACCAGGATACTCTTCAAATAATTAAAACAATTTAAAACAATTTAAAATACTTTAAAATACTTTAAAATACTTTAAAATACTTTAAAATACGTAATTAACACCCCCTTGACTTAACAACTTTACCCTTATACTGCACATACAGTCAACTCTTTATAATGAAATAACAATTCTAATAAATTTTTAATAAATTTTTAATAAATTTTTATAGAATTTTTATAGAATTTGGTAACTCTCAATTGATACACTGTTATTGAATCTATCTACCGTCTTTGATAATCTGTATGCTACGCACAATGACAGATACAAATTTGTAAATCATCACTCTTTGCTATTGTATAAATATAAATAAAATAATTGACTTTATCT